GCCAAGGTCTCTGAGTTTTGTCAGAGGACAAAACTTGATGTAGTTGACACCTCAGTGTTTCACAACTGGGTTTGTTTAGCCTGTGCAGGGCAGCCCTGTACAGAGACACCTGAGCTTGGCCTGAGCTGGCTGCTGGACAAATTCACTTGCAATCCAGAGAGCAGATGCGAGCGGAGGAGCAGCGTGAGCGTGTGGAGCAGTGGGCTGTGCGGGCTGTGGCGCTGCACGATGGATGTGCAGTAACCTGGCGTAGCTATCCGTTGCTTCTGCGCACGCTGTGTCGTTCAAAGAGGAAATTGTACCCAAGTCTGTTCATAGTGAGGTGTGTATGTCCGGCCGCGTAGCGTCTTCCCACGTTTGACCAATCTTGCACCTTAGTCACACCTTTTCCTGGTGATGGACCATCTTTCTCTAACGCTCAGGGGTTCCGATTCAGGAAGTAACCTGGCGTAGCTATCCGTTGCTTCTGCGCACGCTGTGTCGTTCAAAGAGGAAATTGTACCCAAGTCTGTTCATAGTGAGGTGTGTATGTCCGGCCGCGTAGCGTCTTCCCACGTTTGACCAATCTTGCACCTTAGTCACACCTTTTCCTGGTGATGGACCATCTTTCTCTAACGCTCAGGGGTTCCGATTCAGGATGCTTCCTGACACTTCCCACGTTTGACCAATCTTGCACCTTAGTCACACCTTTTCCTGGTGATGGACCATCTTTCTCTAACGCTCAGGGGTTCCGATTCAGGATGACTTCCTGACAAATGCTCAGGAATTTTGCTATCAGCAAATGCTCCGTGATTTTGCTGTCAGCTGGGTACCAGACAGTGACTGAGTAACACCAGCGCTGAGCCCACAGGTGCAGCCAGCGCTGGAGGCTCATCCGAGTCCTGCACCCACCCTCTCCCTCACTTCGGAAGTCCCCCTGCTTCTGCCCATCATCGACAATGGAGTTCTTATTTCCTTTGGTGCACCAAATTCTCAGCTTGTAAGATCCATCTGCGCACACACTAAAGGAAGACTAATAATTAGATAATACTTCAGCTGACACCACTTCCATAGCGTAGCATCATCTTCTAGCTATGGTAGACATAAAGACACCGGTCAGACTTTTGGCTGAATCTTTGAACAGCACAGAGAGGATGTTGGCATGCCTTGGTTTTTGGCTTCCATTCTTGATCTTCTAGGATGTGGTATGATTATTTTTTCATTCATAAAAAACAAGAGAAGAGCAACAGACACACAGCTAAATTTAGGATTATTCACGTACGAGGTCTTTTTACGCATGTACTTTTTAGCTACAGTTTCAGGGAGAAACCTGAGCTACACTGAGGTCAGAAAGAGTTCTATTAGCCAGACACATCCCTGCCTCCTCCGTTCTGACTCAATGCATCGTTTTATGGGAAATACTATACTGCACTATGTAAGTACTCTTAGGTAGTTTTAGTATTTCCTCTGCTAAGGTCTCGGACAAAAGCCGTGTAATATGAGAGACAAGGGGGCATCAAAAAATACTTGTGTGTGCGTCTGGCAGCCAAGCTCTCTGCAGATTTTGACTCCACTTTTAAGGAAGGTAAGGGCTTGAAACACTCACAGGATGCTTGATTCTCTTGGTTTTAAACCAGATCTCCATGTCATAGCTCTTCAGGTGCCAGCGGGGGTTGCTGAAGGGCCATCGACCTGGACTGGTAGAATCAGATGTTAAAAAAACCACTTCCAAGCCATTGCCCCCTGCTCTCCCTGCACTGTGGCTTGGTGAGCAGTGTCTCCTCCTTCTCTTCTACCAGAAATCTCTCACCCTTGTTCCAGGGGCAGAAGCAAAGGAGCTGTTTTTAACTTGAGACATGCTCCTGGTGCCAGGCAGGGCCACTCTGCAAGCCCAGCAGCTTCATGTAAAAGAATTTCAAAGCCAATATAGCTAAAGCAAAACTGGTACTTTATAAAGATAACACTTAATGTAGTATTTAGAAACATTAAGTAGTCAAGGCTCTTTGTGCTAATACTACATCTTATGGTCTGTATATACAGTCAAAAGGACTGCACAGCTGGTTATTCACATGAGCAAAGACAGATTCATGTGTTCTTGTGTTCCCTCTATAAACGCACTTTTAGTCCTTTCCACTAAAATAGAGAAAAAAAATTCTCCGTAAGAGCAAAAAGTCTATCATAAAAATAGGTTAAAAAAGAAGCATCAGAACTGAGTAAGAACTGGCTCTGAATCACACCATCCATTGTCTCTGAAGGCTAATGCCGTTTTTACAGTCTCTAAAATGTAGTAATATCTTTAGTGCAGTCACAGACTACAGATTGCTTCTTTTGTTGACAGTAATGCAATCTTTTCTAAATATATGACAGAAATTAACTTCACCCAAATAAATGTTAATGTACAAAGTGTATGTATGTGCAACATATGGAGCTCTGTTAGGATGTTCTGGTGACAGGACAGCCGGGCCCTTTTATTATGGTTTACGATATTAGCAGTTGCTAAAAGCTTCAGTGAAATTGCACCCTTATGTTAGATATTTATTTCCCTATTTTCCACTTTCCTTATGGATTCTGATATGGTGAGTCATCTCCCAAAACCTTGCTTTTTCAGTCACATTTCACTAGATCTCTGTTCAGCGAATGGACTTGTGATGGTGGAGTGAAATCTGGAAAGCAAGAGGTAGCTTGTTCTTAGTGTCTTGTGTGGTCTGATTCGGTTTCTGATTCTATTTAATATTGAAAAGATTTTATTTTTGGCTAAGGTAATCGTTACGATGATTGGTAATGATGATGGTTGCTCTGAGTTGGTGTGAATACTGGTTTGCGTAGGGGAAAGAAAGTAAATTAGATGTTCCCGGTGAGCTGGGGGAATGATCTTCTCTGGCTTTGTTTCAGCTCTGTCCATGCCTCAGTCGTTGAGCCCGTCCTCGCTCGAAAGTGTGCCGTGACCCCACGAACCGCAGTGGGGGCTCGGGCCGCTCCTCGGCGGAGCTCAGGCCGCCCGTGCCAACATGGAGACCGGCCGTTCCTTCCCTGACCTGTCACACCCTGCTCATACGTGCCGGTCACGTTCCGGTACAGAGATCATCTTCTCATTTCCCTTTTAAACGTAATTTTCCTTCTCCTTATGAGACTACCGGCTGCCTAAGGCTTACAAGGAGATGACGGGTGATGGAGATACCCCAGCTCACGCTGCCTTGGCGGCCGTGCGGGCGATGCCGGAGCCGCAGGAACAGCGAGCCCGCAGGGAAGGCTTTCAGAGCTGGGCAGGCAGTGTTTAGAAAGCAAGCAGGATTTACGGGTGGTGTTTAATTTCTCTGTGGAATCCGCTCTTAACCGGAGAACGCCCCGATTCCAGCTCGGGCCTGGCCCGACCGTCGCGCCTCAGGGGCCTGAGGTGATCCCGGGCGTGGCGGGGCGCCC